ACCAAACGAATATCCAACAACTTAAAATGTGTGGTATTAACCCCGGCCAACTTAAGTACTCATCACTTTTCAACTATGTATGGCTACAATCACATATGAATTCTCTATAATTCTACACACGTGTTTTTGTGTGTTTATCATAGCCATCCGCGAAAAAAATCATAGGCTCTTCGCTAACTTGGTCTGAACTAACAATCATGGAGTGGCAATACACCAACATCCATATAGGATCTCATAAAGTCTAGGAGCTAATCAAATCATGATCTATATCTTACTTTGTTTAAACCAACAAGCATGGGTGAAGGCATGTCTACCAAAATTCTGTGGGTTTCGCACCGTTGTAGGCTAAGCAGACCTTTTGGTAAGCAAACCATAACTTAATTAGGTCACTCCCCCAGTTTTTGTGCTTCACATTGGACATTACTCCTTAAGGCCACAACCTCAATGGCGATACAATTTGATGAGGAAAAATCAGGCCTTTATGTGAATTTCTTGCCTTAAAACAGAAATTGAAAACTAAATTAATTAACACAAAACTTTAATAAGCTTTATTAGAGCCAAAACTTTTTTGTTTTCCACTGATCCAAGAATTTTCAGATAGTACTGAGCGTCCAATAAACATCATCCACTAAATAGTTCTCTTTCTCTATGAGCTAGCATCATTACATGGTGCTTGACGCATCTCGTTGATTTTCTTGGATTGGCTATCACTTTTTTGAGCACTCTCCACTCGTGCTAGAAAATCTTAATTTTTTGAGGGCTTTGGCTGCTAATCATTATTATGGGATAACTTCTTTTGTAGTTGTCCTTTTCTAAGGTTTGAGACTGATGGACATAGAATAAACTAAGAAAGATAGGGAGTGGCTTTGTGGCCACATCTCATCTCATCTCCTTCAAAAAAAGAAAAAATAAAAGAAAAAGGAGAAACATTTTCCTTTCCTATTGGCCAATATATCATCTAATAATTAAACTATCCACACCCAAACCACACTACTAACAGAATCATTATGGGAGCTTTGACCAATGCATTTCAGCTTTCATTACTTGATGAGACCCTACAGGAATTTGTTCTAATTTCTTAACCTTGGGAAGAAAAAAGCTTTTTAAAAAAGTTTCAAACCCTTTACTTTGTTGTGAGCCCTTGACTAGTCAACTAGGTCAAATTTCAGTCAACTCAAATGATAGGTTAGGAAAGAACCATTCCGTTTTACTTTTGGCAAAAAAGTTCGTCTCTATGGACAATCAAACTACTTAATGATCTAAAAATACTTGTTGTAGAATGCAAAAAGATGGAAGAAGTTCTTTGGATGAGAGACACAGACTGGATGAGATATTTCCTTGGTTTACAAATAAGTAAAGCTTAAAGAGAAGTGTTCATTAATATTCAAGGAGAATATAGGAAACGAAAGACTTCATCTGCAAATGTTCAAAACTAAGAATTGTAAGGAATTAACCACACCGACAGTCTTGAGTGAGAAGTATATCCATGCGGTGGAGCATAAGAGCTAGACATCTCAAGCTACAGAAGGTTTTCTCGAATCACTGATTACCACTCAAATACAAGGTCAAATACTGAACGATATAAGTGTCGTGTTCAAATTCATGAGTAATACAAGCAAGCAACACTATTTTTTTTTTGAGCTGAAAAAAACAGGGTGGGGGTCCCTGCTCATAGGGGAATATTGTTAATAACCTAAAAACAAAGCAAAATACATCGCATCCAGATGAAGAAACACAAAAGGAGAAGCAGATAAAGAGCGGACATATGTCGTCACCTAACAAACTAAACCCAAAGCGTTTCTGCAACTTAAAAAACCCGAAAAACATACTTACACAGCAGAAGTATGTAAGTTCTCCACTATCATCAAGATACAAAAGAGAATATACATCAAACATACAACAAAAGAAGATAACGAACGTCCTGATTCCGAGACAAAATAGGTTTTCACTGTAAAGATTTTTATGTTGAGTGGATTAGGAGAATGTCAAAGTCACACAAAGGATCTGCATACATAAATTTTGAGCTGAAACATATAAAATAACTTCCACTCCAAACATATAGTAAGATATCACCGTCAAGTAGGCTAGGGATGTTAATCAGAAGCACCTATGCAGTCCCCTACCGACTTGTGGTTTAAGAAAGGAACACAAGAGGAGTAAAACTAAGAGAGGCTAGGAGAGACAGGAGAGACTAAAAAGCAATATATACCTCTTATTTTCATGTAAACATTCAATAGTTTTCGAATGAATACTAATAAGACTGTGTGCACGAGTTTGGCAACAACCTAAAATGAAAGGGCCAGAGCTAGTTATAAATTGATTTGTGTTTAGCAAAAACTGGACCATGGTTTATCCAAGTTTTTAGGCTAAAATTTTGCCATTACACCAATTATGTTCTGATCCAGCCCATAGCTTGTTCTTAGCCCCTTTAGAATAAGATCGAGTCATGATCAAACCTCGTCCAATTCTCAAGGGTTTGCTCATCCTATGACCTCCCTCTTAAATCATAATAAAAAACAAAACTTTTTAACGAGAAAATTTTCAATAATAGATCTAAAAATATCAAAACTAAAGTTGTGTGATAAAAACCCTAATTGGCAACTGTTTATCTTCCTAGCTTATATATATTAAAGAAAGTACAAGCATTTCATGCATGTCCACCATATTATTAGTGCACCAACATCTGATCATTGGAGTATTAGTGCAACCTAAGCAAGTTTAGATATTTAGGTAATTAGTGGACTAATAAATGGAGAGATGTACCCTAGATTAGTTTAGGATTATATGTTTAAAAACCAAAAAAAAAAAAGATGGTGCCTAGAGCTGGATCACTGAATGATGAAAAGTCTGTGGGCTCATTTTTCATAGTAGTTAACAAACAAGTTGGCAAACTCTAAGGTGAAAGTTGAGCACTTGCTCTAATTGAACGTATAAGACCTAAAGAAAGAATCTAGGCATTAATATTTTTGTGGTGCATCAACTAAAAGTCACACGTGCAGCTAGCTCTAAACTCTCTCCTTTAAACCATTTTTAATTTGGCTTATCCACCTTTCACTGTCTCCATAATTATACTGCTTTTATAAGAGAGAACTAAACTGATGATAGATTATAATAACAATTAGTATCACTACCACTTCTTCAGCCCATCATTTGCCACATACCCAAAGCGGGAACTGCAGGTTAAGTGCCATCGGTGCACGTTGAAGACACGTGCTTGGAGCTTGAGACTCAGCTTAACTCAAGAGAAGATTCTTCTATATTATATTCACTTAATTTGTTAAGTTGTGTGATAGCGATGAATCCCTACAATTGCCTTTAACTGAATCAATGTGCTAAGGACTATGTGTTTATGAGTAGAGTTAGGCAGCCTTTGGGGTACCAACACATCTTGTAAAGGTCTTAGACTTCTTAGCTGTGAGAAGATATCAACATATTACTATAAACTAAGACGTTAATTTATTATATATAAAGCTAGGATGCACATATAACTAAAGTAGTCGTGTACCAGCCCTCACTTTAGTAATGTCTATTTGGTTCTAGATTAATTAGTTACTTTAATTTTTTGACACTGTTCTCAAATTAATTATATTAGTCTTTGCAAAATGTGGCTCTTGGGATCACCAAGCATGTACATTTATATATGAGAGAGGTCGCTAGGTTTTTGTGCGTCGTTTGAATGTAGTTGTGGTCGTAGCGACTCAATACATGATCAAACAACTAAGACCTGTCTCCAACGGAGAGGTAACTTTCTAAAATCTTAATCATCATAAAAATATCTAAATGTTCAACTTTATATATTTAACAATATCAAACGTTCTAAGTATAATTTCTTACCATTCTCATAAAAAACCATAGCTACTTACACACACATATATGTACATATATATCTATATGTGTGTGTGTATATATATATGAGAAGAGCTTTGCTACAGGGACCCAGAATATGGGACCAATAGAGGGGACAAGTGAAGTGTCCCCCTCCTATTGGATAATGAGTTGGCCATCATTAATGATGGCCAACTCATTATCCAGTAGGAGGGGGACACCTCACTTGTCCCCCCTATTGGTCCCATATTTTGGGTCATTAAAGAGTTTTTCAAATTGGAATATCACACATCTATGTTTAATGTAACAAAATTAAGGTTTAATCGTTTGAGTCAATTGTGGTCCATAGATATTAGTCTAGACCATACCCATTTGTGATTTAACAAGTTGGTATTAAAAACCATTGTTATGTAGGTCATTAGATGTTCTGTTTGCTTCAAGAATCAAGACTATGTTAGCATGAGGTTAGGGCTCAATATAGTGCGCACATGAAGATACATATGACAAGGTCCCATGAAAGTTCGGATATTCTTAGGCATGCACATTTGCCACTCTTGCATGATCAATTTTCACGATATACGTGTGTGACATGTGTTTAGATGCTACAAGCCATTTGTATTGCACTCAAGTTGGACTTGATTGGATCTAAGTTAATGTGAAGATTAGTTTGCAATGATTCACATCAATTCAGATTAATGTTTATCTTCGAAAATAATGTCCTATGTACGTTGGAAGAACAAGTCATCAACATATTATTAAATATGTTTGGACGTCTCATGAGAGGTAATCTTTTTGGATAGTTCATTTCTGCTCTTTGTCCACGCAATACGACAGAACTTTTTACCATCTAGCTACATAAAGACAATCGTCATTAATATATATTTTTGCAATAATAATAATCTACTTAGAACATGTTTGGCAATATACTTATTTTAACTTACTAGTGTGTTTTTACTTATAAGGATCCAGTATCATATTTGGTGAAATTTACTTATTTTTAACTTATAAGTAGGAAAAAAAGTAGTTGGGATTTCCCAACTTATTTTCTTGGTACTTAAAAGAAGATTTACCTAATGTTGGTAAAATACTACCTTACCCTCTAACAAAATAAGTAAAAATAAGTAATAAAAAACTTATAAGGCTTCATAAAAATAAGTATTAGCCAAACACGCGCTTACACTTTTTCTTATATTTATTTCAATTGATACACCTAAACTCTCCCCTTTGTTCAAAAGCCTTGGCTTAACAAAACTCTCCCAATTAACAAACAAAAAAAAAAAAGAGTATTGAAAATTGATTTAGCAAAAGGGCTCTAAGTAAACGGGCACTCCGTACTTAGGCCTCAAGGTGAGCACATTAACCGGGGCGTGCCGGTAATTCTTCGAGATGGTAAACTTGAAGTTAGTGAGCAACATAGCAAGCACAATCTTAGCCTCCATCATTGCATAGGCTTGGCCGACGCAGTTGCGAGGGCCGGAAGCAAAGGGGAGGAAATTGCGAGTCATAGCGAACGACTTCGCTGCGAACCTCTCGGGGTTGAACTCGTTGGCGTCTTTGCCCCAAATTTCTTCGTCGTGGTGGATCGCGAGGACCGGTATCCAAATTGAGAGTCCCTTAGGGATGTGGAGGTCTCCAAGCTTGATGTCTTCAAATGCCATGCGAGGGAGGAGAGATGCCGGTGGGTATAGGCGCAATGACTCATTTATTATCCTGTGTAACTGCAAGCAGAGAAGCGAGGTGAGTCAAAAGAAATTAAAAAGAATATGACAGCAATTAGTTTAACAGAAGATAATGGAAGATTAGCACATCACTTATGTAGCTGATCGGAAAACTTTTAAAAGATTCTTGACTAAAATGAATTGAAGAGTATGATTCACGTAGCTGACTTAGAAAAATTTGGTGTAAAGCATTTGTTTTCGTTATGAAACTTTAACTTAGTAATGTGCTTGACTGCATCAGGAATCTCGATGGTTGTGGATCCTCTGTGTTGCAAAATCTAATGGTCATAATGAGAGAAAAAGTTGAACTTAAAAGATCTTGCCTCGTGTTAAAAGAACTTTAGTGATGGGTACTTGCTGATGATGAGGCAATTTTAGACCTGCCGGCTAAAAAGTAAAACTCAAAAAAAATTTCTAAGAATAGAATGAGTTATACAAACACGAAGTAGCAAATTTTGGCTATTGGGACTCACATTCACCTAATGTGTGGTGTACATGAAAAGTACATACTCGGAATACATTCACTAATATTAGTTGTGACAATGGGATGGGATTGATTATTAATAGATACCAAAGATGTACATTCCTTTGTTTAAGGCCCATTCAAAAAGTATGTATAGTGTGTTAGTGATTGAGACTAACAGGTTCTTTGACAGCAAAAAAGAAATTCTAAGGACCCATTTGGCATAGTTTAAGGATAGAGGAAAAGAAGGTTGAATTAGGTAATTATTTTCATTAAAAAGAATTCAATTGGTTAATATGTCAGGTAAATTAAGGTCGATGATCAAACTTTCTCGATAAATGTATAGATTTTTTCCCCTAACAGAATACAAATACTATCAGAACATTTTCTGTTCGGCAACTATGCTCGTGCCCGTTCATTTAGAAGGCTTAAACATTATATGTTCATCATTCTTTCTGTGTTTTTTTTCCTCCTAAAACTTTTTGTGTGTTAAGTGTTCTGACAGGATTCTTACATTTTCTAATTGGCAAATCCATCTTTCAGGATTAACTTCTGTTTACTCATCTTAACTGTTCATCTTTAGCACTTTGCTAATTTTATTTAGAAATTTAGACGAGTAAACTCAATTTATTCTGTGTGTATACATTTTCTGTTCAGCAAATTAGTAAGGTGTTAAAATTTCACTGAGCCCTTCTAATTTTTCCTTAATACATGCTAAAAAAAATCTTTTATTCGATATAGTTAAGTGTCTACAAATACTCACCCAATTAAGTTTAGAGATTTGCTCCGGCATTGGCGTCTCATCCCCACACACCTCCCTCACCTCCGCCCTCGCCTTCTCCTGCCACGAAGGATTCGTGGCGAGGAGCATGACCGTCCATGTCAGCAACAACGCCGACGTCTCGTGCCCCGCGAAGAAGAAAGTCTTGCATTCATCCATAACCAACTGTAAACTGTAACTAAACCCTTCGCTCTTCTTCTGAGCCTCAGCAAGCAGCATCCCAAGCAATCCCTTGCCATAGCTTGAACTCCTTCCAATCTCAACTCCATCCTTTCTGCTCTCTATAATCTCCATCAACAGCTTCTCTACTTCAATCTTCAGTGACTTTATCTCTCCCCGGAACTTACTCGGAAAGAACCTGAAATTAATTAATAATTAAAATAGGCAACATTTTATACTGCATCATGTACAAAGATAGCGAGCAAGTTGCTGAAATCAGACACCCAACTTGAGTCGGCCAGTGTCAGTGTCCAATTTCAATGCATACTGAGATTTACTGACAGTAAAAAATAAAAGTAGGAATAAAAAGGAGAAAAAACAAACTACTAGTACCTGCTGCCAGGGATCCATAAGTATCGGCTGGACTTAGCAGTAAAGCTCTGCATGCGAGTGAGAAGCTCGAATATCTTCTTCCCCTTCTCGTAGCTCGTATCGAACTCGGTTCGAGAGATTATGTCCCCGGTGAGCCGAGTCATGTACTCACCAATTTCCACCTCTTTAGCACCACTTTTAATGGTATCGTGCAAAACCGCTATCGTTTTCTTAGTGCACTCCACCATGTATCCCAAATGTCCCTGTTCAAGATAATCTTTTCAGCTTTGTTTCTTTCTTTGCATCATGACCAGCAAATGGTAGTGTACTGTGGAAATACCTTGAGCTTTTCCCCAATGAATGCGGGTGCCACGACGTGACGCTGGTGGAACCAATTTGACCCATTTGCCATCAGCACGCCCTGACCGATGAAGTTCTTGGTTCCTTGCTGCTGCATCCAGGATTTCCCCGATGACTGCACGTGCTTCGACGATAGGAACTCCTTGATCATGTCGGTATCGGTTAAGCATAGCCTTGGCTCGCTCCCGTACCAGTACACGAATCTCTTGCCTGAAATCGCAAAGATACATGCATTGGTATTTATTAGGATGGCAACAACATAAAAACATATGCATGTCTACTCCAGGGCTGTATTAGGACCACTGTGGAGTTGTACTGGAGACAGGTCCCACCTGGATCGAGTCCTTACTGCAAAGCAGTCGAAGTTCGACCCAAACGAGACACGAACTCCGTGCTCCTCCCAGAAACGGAACACTTCAGACCAAGATTTGCTCAATTAAAAAATAATAACAATAAATGTGTATCATCTGTATTGGGAATGAATTTAATTAATTAATTACCATATATTTTCGACCAGAGGACATAATGGGGGAGGAGACGGCCGACTATGTCGTGGTCGACAGACTCCATGTCGGATGAGGTGGTCTTGGCGACGAGGGAGGCGATCTCGGGGAGGTTTCCGACAAGGAAACGGGCCTTCGGCCCATGGACTCCTTGCTTAGACATGGCTAGTCGAATTCGACATGGACTTAGGTAGTAGCAAGAGATTGTGACCCATGCTACTCTTAAGAAGAAGAAGAAGATCAACAAGAGGATTGCCCATGATAAAACTATTACGGTCTCCATATAGAGAAAGAGAGAAGGAAGAGAGGCACAAGGAGAGAATTGCTGAGGGCCTGGCCTTCTCTCTTTATAATGAGAGGGGATGCATTTTATTTGCCCGTTGGCTTAAAAGGGAATGTTTTTATGGAGTAGAGCAAGGGAAAATATTAAACCAAGGAGATCACGGCGATTAGGATTTTCGCCCTTAAAAATACCTTAAGGACCCAAAATATAGGACCAAGAGAGGGAACATGTGAGATGTCCCATTCCTATTGCATAATGAGCTAGCCATGCTAGCTCATTATGCAATAGAGGGGCTAGCTCATTATGCAATAGGAGGGGGACATCTCACATGTCCCCTCTAATGATCTCATATTTTGGGTCCCTGTAGCAGCGCTCTTTTGGCCTTCTCATAAATCCAACAACTATATGTGTTTTCCATTTTAATTGCTACACAAAGGGGGATGATTGGGCAAAGAAGGAAAGTTTTGGGAGGATTGAACAAAATTTTAACATTTCATTTTTCTTTCTACTTTATTCTATTCTTTCTTCACTACATGCATGTAGAGATTAAACAAACTGAATAATCTTGTTTTAATATTCTTTAAAGATAACCATCCTTAGTTTTGGAAGAAGTGGGGATGGGATTCCTTGAAGTTTCAATTGGTCGAAAGAGGTTATAATAAAGAAACTTGTGGCATGATTTTTTTTTGAATTAACAACAACAACATCAAAGTTTTTATCCTAAAATTTTGACGTCGGTTATATGAATTTTATTCTTACTTTTATAGGATTTATTTTCATGTGGATCCAACTATGTTTTATACTTGCTATCGGCTACCTAACATAAACCCCCTCTTTTATCCTGGCTTGGGACATGCAATGCTAGCGATAAAATAAAGCACAACATTGACAGAGTTAACTTCTTCAAAAAACAGTGTCAGTTCTTATATGACAAATTTTTGCAAAGATTACACAAGAATTTAACGTGATTGAGTTATTAATTAACCTTCATGAATGCAGTGGCAAAGAAGAAATAGAGTTTACTAAACAAATCATGAGGAATAGAAAGGTAAAGAACTCTCAAATGCTTATTTTAAATCTCATAGTAATCTAGCTCTCTCAAAGAATACACTAAAAGCTATAAAGATAAAAATTAGAAGCATGAATTTATATAAACCATGCGTATACAGATAAACTTTATAAATCCCAAATTGTTGATGAAATTTTATATCTAATCTAATGACCATATTCTTCTTATAGATATACATCGGCTTAATAAGCTTGTATCCTGTTATGGGAATATATTATGTGTCCAGATTTAATGTATAAATTTAATACAGTATCTTACTATATATATTCAGGACGATCTATTACAATTTGTTACCTTTCATTATCAGAGTTTCCTTATTTAAAATTTTGCAAGGTGTATAAGTATGAACATTATTTGTTACCTTTCATTATCAGAGTTTCCTTATTTAAAACTTTGCAAGGTGTATAAGTATGAACATTGTCCTCTTCTTCATAATCAGTTAGAATATGAAAACTTTCTTTACTTTTCTTTCATTTCAATATGGTATCAAAGCAAAATTTTGATTGTTGATGCTTTAATCTCAAGACTGCCGAGATGGGGTTTTCCACCAGCGCCTTCAGTGCTCCCTCTCAGCACCTTCAGCCTTACTTTTTACACCTTCAGCGGCTTCGGCCTCAACCTTTTCTTGCTCATGTTACCGAGCCTCATATTGCATGACCTAAAGTTTAAACATTTGACATTGATGATAAAGTACTACAATCAAACTAGTAAAAATAGACCCTGCATCACATGTAAGCTCACATTCTTCTTCTCTTCCATCATAATACACTAGATTTTAATAATTTTAACAACTCCATCTTTATCTATAGGGAAAATTGCTTCTATCCCCCAACTTCCTTACAAGTATTCCGTCCGCCCGCCCGCAAGACTTTTTCAATGCTTCTAAAAACCCCAATAGCAAAGTCATAGTTCCCTGAGCCCCGAAAACACAAAAACCAAGAGTTTAAAACATGTGAAGACCACAATACTCTTTCTCTAAGTTTAAAACATGTGAAGACCACAATAATCTTTCTCTGAGTTTAAAACATGTGAAGACCATAATACTCTCTCTCTCTCTCTCTCTCTCTCTCTCTCTCTCTCTCTCATGATGTTATTGTGATGATTTGAAATGAGTTTTGGGGGGAAAAATTCTAGTTCCCTCAAAAATTTTCCAACGGCCTTGACATCGGCGGC